TATGTTTGGCTAAAAATGTGGAACATGGTAAGACAGATTCCAAAAATAATCATTATGTCCACTCTCACTGGAGAGCTGGGTTGGGAAGACAAATCCAGTTTAGGCTCTGGTCAGTTTTCAGGAAATCAGGCTGCTCTCTTTCTTCCTCTTCACAGGATAGCACACCACTAATAACGAGCAAACCTGGAAAATTAAAACCAGATTCAATCTCCAAAAGCTGACAACTAGCAAAGACTGGGAATTGATGGTTGAATGTTTTCAGCCATGGGAAAAGGGACTAATTTTGCTGCTTGTACCACTGATCCCTCAGCTTTCCTTGTGCTTCATTTCTCAGGGGGCAACAGCACTCCCTTCCTGGCACATTTAGCACCCTGGTGTGTCTCCTCAGAGCTGGCAGACTGCAGCCAGCTCCAGCACAAACAAGGCAAGCCACTCTCTCCCCTTAAGCCCACCCTTGAGAAAAAACCAGAAATGCACCAGTGGAAGAACAAGCAGATGGTCAAATGAACTCTAGTGAAGAAAAAAATAAGGAGGGCTGGTACCTTTCTGTGGAGCTGCATCCTGATTGTAGAGAGCAACCTAAAATTTCAATGAACTGTTCCATTGTTTCAGTCAGGAAAGCTCTGTAGGTCCTGCATTTATGAGAGGTGTTGATAAAAATGAGCCCTAGTATCTATCTGCTCATTTATCTTGGGCTTTGGAAAGTACTAGGAAGCGGCCAAGATGTAATAAATTTAAAGGAAGAAATCATGGCCAGTCAAGTGGTTCAGGAAGAGGAGTCTTGGCTTTCTCACCACAGGCTGTGAAACAAAAATAGATATCAATACACACCCATCTGCTGGAGGAACCAGCGAAAAATATGTATTATTTATGCAGTACTTCTTTAAATAGGAGTGAGCAGAGAAACTGAACCAAAAGACTTTATGTGGCAGGTTACAAACATAAGGAATAATATATGCTGTCAAATTTGCAAACCCACTCACATACAAGCTCTAAGAAGAAAAGTGCTCCTTTCCCTATGTGATGCACAGCAGACCTTGGAATATTTCTCATTTTCCTCCCTTCTGCCAAAAGCTTAAACCACCAAACCCTACTGCTTCCTGGGAGAGGGCAGAAATCCCATGTAATCACAGCCCCCCAAAATGTTTATTGATCTGTATCAGCAGAGATATATTGCAGGAAAAGCCTCCCCAACCAAGCACATATTTATAATAAGGCAATACTCAAATCCCCACATTTTAATTTGAATTTAGGTCATTAATACCACATTACTTAAAAACCTAAAAACCCCAGACAAAGCATAGTCTAGCCAATACAGAGATCAGAAGAGAGTGATTGTACAAGTGTTTAGTAGAGAAAAACATGTTCTGCCTAGCAACCACAGGCTCTCCTGGCCATCCGGGGGAGGAATCCACCACTAAAAATGTCAGCAAGCAACTTATGCCACTGTGCCTCAGATACAAAGGCCTAGTCAGTGGGCAATTAAAAATTAAAGAAAAAATAGCTATAGAAGGAATACTCAGAAAACCAGATGCAACTTTTAGCTTGCTTCCCTCTGTATCTTTAAATAAAGATGGCTCCTAGCTGGATGGGTTCTGTGCTTGGACTTAGAAATAAGCTGTTTTCTCACCCAGAATATATACAGGAAAGGAGAGAGGACACTGAAAGCAATTTACCATTTTGATGTTATTGAAACAGGAACTCAGTGTGGTACTACAGTATGTGATGGTCCTGAATCCAAGGTTAGACAGGGTTGTCTGATGATGATGGTTATCAAAATACAGCACTGCCAGCAAGATTTTTTTTTTTTAAAATCCATTTTTACTAGAATGAAATTTTTTCTGCCATGGTAACTAAGCTGAGATTTTTCAGATAGTTCCATTATTTTTCATGTACTGGACTACAGTGAAGTATGAGCTGAGACTAAGAATCTCCTCCTAGAAAATGTGTCAACAAATGGATTTCTGGCCTTAGAGAAATTACTAGCCATATCAGGCAGCCAAAGAAGGTTTAAGGAAGGACTCTAATGCCCATCTTTCAGATCAACCTCAGTGTGAGGAGACCAAGTTTTGCTCTGTGTGTTCACACACTGGATCTGCACCTCAGAAGGACATTTCTCACTGCTGCTTCTGAACTGAAATGAAATAGCTTTTCCTCTCTGGTTCTGACCCAGAAGAGATCAGCCAGGATGTAAGGTCTGCTGACTGCAGTTATCTACATGAAATGGGCTTACCAGATTACCAGTTCTAGGAGAAAGAAGAACCAGAGCACATGAAGATGATGTATTTCCTGCCAAGGTTGGGAAGCCAGTAACCTCACCTTGAAAATGCTAGCAACATGTTCCTTTACAATAATCCATCTTCAGGACAGCTTCACCTGGATGACAGACTGTCCCAGGCCCCATTTATGCAGATATTCTCAGTGAATATTCCCAGATAACACAGTGAACTGGGTTTCCAAGATGATGACTACCTCCAGGTGTGATTGTATGTGTTTCCTTTCAGTGTGTAAAAGCTAAAACCTTTGATGAACAGAGACCACTGGGAGCAGGAAGACCACAGGCTGGAAGCTCTGGTCATGCCCAGAGACAGTGAGTCTGTCCTTGCAGCTCTCTGAAGAAGGACCAGACTATGCAGAGCACACCGGGGCTATGGCATATCTGCACGTGCACAAACAGCTCCTGCTTTCAGCCAAACTTTGGGGAAAAAGCAAACCAGCCAAACAAATATTCCTGTATTTCAGGGAGTAGCAGCCACTCCACCTTTCTGCCATGTGCTGGCTGTGCAGCAGGGGGATAAAATGCCAGGACCATCCATGGCTATCCAAGCACCCCATTAGTGAGACATTTGTGTTCATGCAGGGGCCCCATGGCCAAAGTTTTCCTGCTAGTTCATTTCAGTATCAGCCAGGAAAAGAGCTTTCTGTGCACAGTTCCCTGTGTTATTTGCTGAATTAAATTCTTCCTTCTTAGCAGGCCAAAGCCCAAGAAACAGTCACTGGAACAAACAAGGTTCTGTGCAAATATAATCCCCACCTCACCACCAGGGAATTAAAGCCAAGATTTAGGCTGTAGCCGTTCCCTTTCAGCACGATGAATGCTTAAGCAGGTTACAGATTTGCACTGTGGACATTTTCTGGGGAGAAGAAATAATGACTTCTTTACCAGCCCAACTCACTTCTCTCAGTGGAACAAGCCTAGGGATTATTTTTTGACAAAACAGTTAAGAATGATTTCTGCACGTCAGTATGTTTTAAGTGTTAACCTCAAGAATTGATGAAAGTGCCCGTATTTCTCCAGCCTGTTCTTTGCCCATCTTCAGTATTTGTAATGTGCAGGAAAAAGGACCTGGTTAACATGGAAGATGCCAGCTAACAGGACAACCTTCTCATTGCTGCTGCATTAAAAATTCATACAGGTGCCTGAGAAAGAAAGGTTCTCATTCTCCACACAGAAAAACCTGTCCTTCTGAGACTTACATTGAGTTTGTCAAGCACTGCAAGAAAAGAGTTACCTGGAAAGAAAAAGGAAGTAATTTACTGTTGGACTTGCTATCCGAACTGCTCATCAAAGGTGCAATTTTACCCTGTAATTCTTGAGCTGAATTTGGCACTTCAGTACTCAGGACAAGAGGCAGCTGATGCACTCAAGGCAGACATAATTGGTGCTGTTTTGCAAGAAGGTGGGATGCTGCAACTCAGATTTTGATTCATGTGTTCAACCCAATGTGTATAGATTACAGGCTATACAATGGAAAAGTGAACTTTCTCTAGCTTAGACATTTCTAGCTAGACTGTAACTTGTCCTGGACTTGCCAGCCTACGAAAAACTTCCACCACACTGAATTGAGGAGCAGAGATGAAACTGCACACAGGGCTAACCCTGAGATGAAGCTTTATCTGTGGTGGCAATAGCTGAGAAAGAAGAACATGGGCTGGACACAAACCCAAAGGGTATGGGGGGTGTGGTAGGAGAGTCAGCAGGATGTGGTGTATGCAGGTCTCACCAGCAGATCACCACTCACAAGGGAAAGCACAGAAAAGGTGATAAAGCCAGCAGCTCTGCGATGCTAAAACTCAGGCTGGGTTTTGCACCTGGCTTCCACACCACACTGGAGCAGAGCATGGCCTTAGCATGCTCCCTCCTTCCCATGTTCTGCCTGGAAGGTGATCTTTCTCTGACCTCAAAATATGTAGACTTTTAATCCCAAACACAGAAAGAGCAACTAAACAAAAATAATAACAGCTGCCCAACACTTCCTCATTCCCCCACCTCAATATCACTGTTAGAAACAAAACCTCCACACATGATAAAGGTTATTACAAACTATTTCCATCTTCAAATCCAAACCATTCTTGACATCACCTCTTGCACAATGCCAAGAATCTACAGCTCTCAAGCACATGCCAGCCACCTTTTGTGACACACAATCAACTCCACCTTGGACCCTTTCAGCCACCCCAGGCAAAGATGGCACACTTGGTACACGGAGAGCTGGGTGTAAGAAAGGGGGATAAATCACAGCTTACAGCAATGAGCCAAAGGAGCTGAGTCACAGCTCCACAGCATTGTGCTGGCTGTAGGGATGACACAAACTATTCATCTTCAAGTGCTTCTTTCAAACAGAGAGGTTGACAGAAGCTGGAAATGCAAGATGTGGTGTACTTATGGAGGTTTAGGGACACAGGCCAGCTCATTTTAATGCATTCATACACAGATGGTTTTGCTTTTTTCAAAACTGCTTAAACTACTTTTTAAGACTTGTGTGTGATCCTCTCCCAGCATTCAAATATATTCATATTCCATGTCTGAATTGCCTTGTACAGCATGGCAGCAGAGACAGTGTGCTTAAGTGATCAAAGCACACTTCAGAGCTGTACTACCAGCACTGACAAACAGACTTGTTTTACAAACATTTTGGTTTACAGGCTCAGTGAGATGACACAATTTCCTTGTCCATCCCCAAAAGCTGGATACCAAAGTGGCACATGCTGACACTTACCTAGGAAGCCCTCTTCATCCACAATAATGGTGTAGTCCTCAGGGGTTTCTGTGAGGCTGAAGAACTTGCACCTGGCAAAGGCAAACAGCAGGAGAACATGATTAGCACCTGCACTGAGCAGAGCCTCTTCTTCCACCTAAAATGAAAGTCCTTTCCCAGCCAAGCTGTGCTGAAGGAAGGAGTCACAGTCTGATGTTTATGGAGAGGCCTGAGGCATTAACAGACCTGGATTTTATTTCCAGCTAGCTCATACTGTGTGACCCATATTCCCTGATGCCTGCCTATGCACAATGAAGCTGGTAAAACTCCTATTATTTTTATTACTTAGTTTTTAGTTACTTTTCTTAATTACCATATCCCTTAAGGCTTCCCATCACATCCAGGACCTGCTGTGTTGCACTGACACAGGGCAAAAAACTTTGCTCACTGACTGCTCACCCCAGCACCATCCAAAACCATTTCCATGGTTCACACATGAACCTTTCTGCACACTGAAGTTTCTTGTCTTATCAAGGTTTGACATCTAACCTCTCAACCAAGCCCCAGTATCTCTTGCTCCTTCGGAGGCTTTTGCCATTAGCAGACAGCATCCCAATTTCCTGTGCTGGTCCTTCCCCCTTCCTGGGGTGCTCCTGGTGAAGAAGAATGGTAGCAGCCACCAAGACAATGGACACAAGGCTGGGCTCTCCCTCTCCTGATCCCCTGTGGCCTCTGCTCTGCTCAATCTTCTGCCATCACAGGTCACTGCAGTGCAGCACCCACAGCTTGCTCACCATTTAACAATGTCACCTCTAACAGGAGATACAAATCAAGTGTGACATGGAGTCCCATTCCCTTCCACTGCAAAAACACAAACAAAAAAACCTTCAGCCTTAAGGCTTAAGACCACATATAGCTGAAAGGGTTTTTTTTTTCCCCTGACACACCAACATATGTACTGAACATCTACTGAAAAAACCCCAGCTTATATCTAGCTGGTCCCCAGCAGTGGCAGGAAGGTTAACATGACATTTTGCAAGCTCATGCTCACCTTCAGCAGAGCATCAGCACAGTGCATCCTCCCAGCCCCTCCAAGAGAATGCCAGAGCACATGGACTGACTGTGTTTGTTGCTTAAGAGCAGGAGAAATTCTTCCCTCTAAATTGGGTGCAGCAGGAAGAGCATGTGTCTCTAAGAAGCAAAGAGCAGGATTTCACTAGCTGTTAGTAGTTACACTACGATACTCTCACATTTATCTGAGACAACCTACAGAAAACACTGGGAAAAGAGAGATTGCTCTCAAGGCCCCCAAATTTCACAGCATCTTCAGTGTAATTTCTGCATGAAGCACAGTTCAGCAGGATTCAAGAACCAGGGACTACCAGGGCTTCTCAGCACTGCTGAGCATCCGTGTCCTAAAGTCTTCAAGACTTCTGAAAGTCTGGAACCCCATACTGGTGGCTCAAGGTATCAAAAAATGAAAGCATTCATACCATAAAGAATCAGATGAAAAATCTAGCTCCAGCATTCTTTTGGCTGGCAGAAAAGAACAAACATAGCAGCTATCCCTTCCAAAAGCAACAGGGAGAAAAATGAGATGGATGCTGCCCTCCTCATCACCTCATCAGAAAACTGAGGGGAAACAACACACAGTTCAATTAGTGGTCTGCCATGTAACCAAGAGGATTTCATGTACATGGAATGTATTCGACAACCTGCCTTTAGAGACCTGTCCTGTTTTTCTGGAAGCATCCATCACAACAATCAAGCATAACACTCCCTCCTAGCACAGACATATCATTATAAAATACAGACGTGGCCCCACCACAATAGAAACCACAACTTAATTATTTTGTGTCATTGGTAATAGCTGCTGTGACAGCCACATTTACCAACTCAACTCTCTCCAGGAATAGTGCCAAAAGAAGCAGAAAATAGCAGCAGCTCAATTTTTTACTGTCACTTCTAAACTGCACGAGACTGCTACCAGTGCAAGGGCTAATACAAGCTGGGAAAAAAGAAATTTTGGGATGCTGCTTTAGGTGGGTTCCAGGAGGCAGAAATAATGGTTACAGTGGATGAATTCCCTAAAGAAGTCATTGAAATAAAACTTTTTGCTACTACTGCCTGACCGAGTCGCATGCATGCTGACTAGGGAGAAACCAGAGGTCCTAAAGGAGCAAACATTAATATTAAAAACCTAACCTTTGCTGATCTGCAATGGCATTTATGGAAGACTTTTTTTACTAGAACAGTAATATGTATCTGTGCTCACACACTGACCCCAGCAGAAGAATGATTGTGACAGATGCCAGTTTCTGGGCACACATCTGAATATGCTGATGTTTAAGGGATATATACACATGAAATCCCGTAATTGCTGCCTCAGAACTCATGTCAAAACCTCATATCTCCAGATATCATCTCAAAGCCCAATCCTCAACTCAGAGCGGTTCTGTAAAAGGTCAGGACCATGGAGCCATCTGATTTTAAAAGTGAAGCCTTTCACCAGCACAGAGAAACCAGTGGTTCTTGTGGTATACATTCACTTAGTTCAAGCCAGTGATGCATTCTTTTCCCAGAGGAAATCTAAACATGAAAAATTGGAATTGCAAACCTTGTGTGATAGGAAAAAGGAACTCGGTGTCATGTCTCGCTCTCCCACATTACACTACACATGCCTCTTCCATTCAAGTTATTTCAATAATTTCAATTTCCTCTTAAACCATAAGATAAGCTGAATGCCAACTGCATCTTCTATCATCACACCAAAGCCAAGAAAGGAAAAGAATTGCCCTTTAATAATTTTGAGATATCAGGGAAATGGTATTTCTCTGAGTACATGTGGAAACCATATATGTAGGAAGACAGTATTTTTAGTTTCCTAATAGCCAAATCTTGGATGGATTATTTTGGATTTTTGCCTTCTCAATGTTTAAGCACATTTCCACTTAAGCACTGCTGCTGACTTTGACTGCCTGACAACATATGCCTTTTTCTGGCAGTGCCACAAATGTAGACCAACCTATTATTAGATGAGATCCTTGAAACTGCAAAACTTACACTGTGTATGGAAGAAATACTCAAGCCTGCAAGAGCAGGGAAGTGCCTATGGGATGCAGCAACAGCATCATTTCAGTTTGCAAGCAGAACTCCAGGCTCCATGGGAGAAGTGAGCAGGAAAGTGGAGTGGTTGGCTGTGCTTGCAGGTCCACACCACAAGGGTCTCCTCCAGACAATTGGTCTGCTGAGATCATGAGAGTGGTAATGCTGGGATAAATGTGACTTCTATTTGTTCTGGGTTGCACACAGAGCACAGGTTCCTGGGGATACTGCTGTGGGTCATTTGCAAGTTCAGTACAGACCACGGCCTGCCCCAACAGCTCCCTTATGTGTGCTCTGGAGCACAGGGCTGGCTCACACACATCACAGTGCTACAAACACTGCCACTGGAGCATTGTGTGCCACAACAGACCCCACCTTCCTCTTCAGGAACTCTTAGGAGTTGCACAGCATAGTGCTGGCCTGTTCCCACCTTGGAAAACTATTTTCTATCATCTGTGTAAGTACAGAACACAGCAAGGCAGGAGAGAAGGCTGGAGAAAGAGAGAAATGAGAAGAAATAAATACATTCACTTAGATATTACTTCCCTAAATAGTATTTGAACTTTCTAGATTCATCATGAACAAAAAATTCAGGTGTCAGACTGCTGATGGAACTAGCTGCATTTGTGCTGAAAAGCACTAACTGTTTGAGACAGGAAACAGAGGAGAATTAGCAAGTCATTCACCTTCTGTTATTCTCACAAACTTTGAGAAATGTTGCTTAATTCTGCCTGTGAGGTACCACAGGAATTCTCAACTCAAATTTATCAGTGTATGCAGGAGTGTCCCTGCCGGCTGTGCCCAGAACTGCAGAGAGGGGAAGGGGCTTAAAGAGACTTTATTGGGTTTTCTGGGGTTTGTTTTGTTTGTTATTTGGGTTTCTTGTTTGTTGTTGCTGCCATTGCTGTTGTTTGCCTTGTTATACATACACATGCCAGTAAGGAACTGTTATTCCTTTTCCCACATCTTTGCCTGAAAGCCCATCAATTTCAAAGTTATAATAATTTGGAGGGAAGGGGGTCGTATTCCCCATTCAAAGGGAAGTTCCTGCCTTCCTTAGCAGACATCTGTCTTTCAAACCACGACACAAGATGAATTGTGCTGGGGAAGGGGGGCATGACAGAACTGTATCAGGAAAAAGCCAGCATTTCAGTAACAGTTTACAGTTCCAACTACCAGAAATCAGTATTAGCTGTCATCTTAGCCAAACTAAAAAGCACCTAAATGGAAGTGGTGAGCTTTTGTTTTAAAGAGGCATTTCAAGTCTATGGGAACCAAACCAATGCATTTATAATGCTTGGACAACCTTTCCATACACAGAGGTGATATGAAACTAAGATAGCTCCAAGTGAAACCTTGAGGGAACAGACAACATCTATTTCCACCCATCTTTGACTTGATAGGTGTTTTGGAAGTTAAAGGAAATACCATGCCCCTGGCAGATTTTAATACTTTAACTAGCAGGTTTTCCCTTGCCTTATGCTCTTTTCTTTAAACCATAAATGAATCAAGTGCAGCTCCATTTAAAATACCACTTCTCATGAAATTCTAATCCCCATTTAATTTTATGTCTTACTGCATTACCACAGAGAAGGGGAGAATGAGAAAAGGGAAGAAGAGATGCTTCAGTAACCAACAGAGTCCCTAAACACATTCTTTGGAAACAGCCAAAGACTGCAAAATGACCAGGCTGTAATCATGTACCAAGTGCTGTGCAGGCTAAGAATTAAACTAGATTGAGAAAATTAAAGCCACAAAATAACAGCTGTGAAAGATTTACAGGAAATTTAAATTGTGAAATCAATAGCTAAGATTAAAAGGAGCTATAACAAAACTACACAATCTTCTTGTAAAGGTATGGGGAAGAACAAATACTCTCAGAACAATATTAGGCTGTATCATCAAAATATACCTACAAAGAATAAGAATTTAATGAATAATGGTCTTGGATCTTTCTCTGTGTGCAGCTGAGGCCCACCAAAACCAG